ATTATGATCCTCAACACTGTCCATAATTGTCGTTTTCCAATGGCGGGATAATAAGAAATCTACAAAAATAGATAACTTATTCATTCCTCTAGCCAACATACAGTAAACTCCTGCTATACAGTGTATTTGTTGCTGTGAACAGCAGTAACTAATTTACTCAGCGCCTGTATGCTAAGCACAGATCTAAAGCACTTTACGTGTGTTAACTCATAATCAGACTTGAGCAAAACAGCTAAGGTACTTTCCCCCATGGAGCTCATGATGGATAAAGGGGGACAGGGGTTCCTTAGCTTGTCTCAGGCTGATGTGTAAATGAAATGTCCACCTGCTCTTGGCTCTCCGAGTAATGCATATGTTCATTGTTTGCAGATTCAGTGTTTGCTACTCTGAGCTAGCTGTATGCTGTCCCCAAGGGTTGAATCCCCACCACCTGCCGATGACATTTGCTCAGGACATTTCCAGCATGTCTTCAAATGAAAATCCATTGCAAGCCAGTGGTCCAGAAGACTGATGGATCAAGTCACTATCAGAATAACAGCCAAATTGTGGCTGTATCCTAGGGTGGCTGGGAGTTCTATTTAGGGATCCATTTTGTACACTCCCCCTTGGGGAAGTGGTTAGTAAAAGCAACCTAATGTAAAACAATGAAGCATTGAAACAGACTGCTAGTTCAAAGGAAAGCGGAAGGGCTGATTTAAAACTATCACAGTCGGGAAGGAGATACATCATAAAACCTACCACTGAGGGCTCCACAGAAGCACAGGGTACATTTTTTTAAAAAATCAGAGCCACATGGAAGAGACTCCACCACCCCCTCCTTTGCAATCACCCACATGAATAGATAAAAATTATTTAGTAGTATTGTCTTTAAGTACAGAAGGCAGTTATCCTAAATCCATAGCCTAAATTTTTAGAATTTGATACTATTTTTAAGTCATTTGACTTTTCATTGCCAACATTGGTGTATGTACATTAACAGCAAAGGGCATTCTCCCCCCCTCATTTGTTGTTCAGTTTTGGAATTTTAATTGTTTTCTTTTGGGTTTATAGTGAGAAAGACTAGACAAGCATTGAAATCAAATCAGATTACAATTGCAGTAAAGAATGAATCCTAATTTAAGAAATATGATTTCCCATACACCCTTTCCTTTTTTTGACATTAAATATATTGTTTGTACTGTTCTAAAATCTATTCTCTTTGACTTCCTAACGGATATTTTCAGTTTATTTGCTCCACCACCCCAATAAAAGCAAATCAAATAAAACATCCCTCGTGATCTGGTCCCATGCTTCTGGCCTCAGCTCCTACCCACTGGACTCTTTCCTCTTTGCCAACACACTAAAAGCACTTACCAGTTAAGCTTTTGCATGCCCCTCTGTTTGGAAGACTCTTAGCTATTCACACAACTGTTTCCCTTTTCCTTCATGTCACCTTTCCTGACTCTCCTACGTAAACCTGCAACCCCACTCCTGCCATTTCTCAGCACTTTGCACCACCTGACATATATCTATTTATCTCTCTAGTCCCAGTGGACTATAAGCTCCATGAGAGCAGAAACTTGTCTGTTTAGTTCACTGTTACATTTCCAGTGTCTATTACTATGTTTGCTATTTATAGATACTCAACAAACACTTTTTGAATGAACGAATGACTTCACATAGAAAAGATAGCTTGTATTTCTTTGTGTAATGGCCCATGGGCTTTTATACAATTTATCTTATAACTAAGTCATATGATTTAGACATATGAATAAGGTTTAATATACAGCCCATTTTTTAAAATTAGAATTTGAAATGGCTGTTTTTAATCTTTCGTTCTGGCAATATATTGAAGAAGCATTCACAGCTTAGAATTTGTGCTGAGATTTTACAAGTTGGCCCATAAATGGTTCCATAGAATGGGAGAGTAATGATGGATCAATAAATGCTGTCAAAGTCTTAATATTTTTTTCCTGAGGTGAAACAATATAGCAGTAATCGGAAGTGGAATAAATGAACTTAAAATTTGATTACTGATAACTCAATAGGTGGTTCTAAGACATCGTTCTCTGTGAGTGCTCAAATAATTTTAGTTGATAATCATGATGGTGAGCTTAACAAGGTTTTCATCTGGTTGACATGTAGTACTGACAGGTAGCAAACAGAACTTGATCCTTAGGTGTAGATGCCCTTAATAAAGAGATGGTTTGGCTTTTCATTTTCTGCTCTGATTATGAGTCATGCGGGTGGGGAAGATTAAAGGCTTAAATATAATTATGTATAATATCTATGGTCAAAATCTGGATCCCAGAAATGGGATCTCTTTTAGAGGATTCAGGATTACTTTTAACAGTACTGCTCCTATCCATGTTTTGACATAAAACAGCCTCCTATTAAAATACAGAGCTTTAAAAGGTGTGAGCAATTTCCAGATGGGAAAGACAGGTGGCCAAGTAAATCTAATCCAAAATTTGTCCCCTTGAAGTTCACCTCAGATTCTCACTCTGGTTCCCAGGGAAACTTGTTCCCCCTTTTAACTTGGTTTAAAAAAAAAAGAAAAAAGGGTTTCTTGACTTCCTTTACTACAGCCAAGCCAACCTAGAATTTTCAAAATGAACTTTACTAAAATCTAAAGGAGATTAAAAAATGAAATAATTATGGAAACTATAAGGAATAGCCATAACTCCATTCATTTGTTCAGCTATTCTTCTACAGTCTTCATCCTTCCAGGAAAAAAATAACTTCCATCCCCACAGGGCAGGTATAAATTTGCAGGCAATCTGCCTAGATTCCTTCTCTCTTGGCTTCTTTTCTTGCTCCACACAGTGGGGTTGCTTGTCTCTTGTTTATGGGGGAGCCATCGAGCTGGTCCCAATCACAACCAAGGCTAAACATCTCATTCGTATTCCTGTTCAAGTCTTAGTTCTGGTCAGAGCTGATATGGCATAGTCCCAGTCCAATCTCAGGACTTGGGGACTGACACGATGCCCCTTCTTCAGATGGGACTCTCTTTACACATGGAGGGAAGGTCGTCACAAGCCCACTGCCAGGTCACTCCTTTTATTCCCCAGAGCATCTCTGTAAGAACTACTGTACAATATGAAAAGACTCACAATTATGTCTAAAATAAATTCTGTTCACAATAACAGATGACCTAGATCTTAGGAATTGGAACCTTTTCTCAGGTCTTTAGGGAAGCCCCTCTCAGGGGACAGGTGCCTGGCAGTGCTTGGGAGCAGGCACAGCAGAGTCAGGCACTGTCGGCCTGAGAGGATCTTGCTGGAGGACACCCCAGTTCTAAAAGGGGAGCCCCAGGGATGAGTGCAGCCTTGTGGAGATAGATGGCCCACCAACAGCAGCCACACAGTGACTGTCAAAGCACAGAGCCATGGTCACGATTCAGTAGAGACGGCAAATTTGGCACCTGTCTGAGTCAGGAGGGGCTCTTAGGAGACCTCACTAGCAGTGCTAACCGGGAAACAGACAGACTGAGGGACAAGCAGTGACTTGCCTAAAGCCACCGGGAAAGTCAGCAGCAGAATCAGGATGGGCCCAGCAGGTCTGTCTACCCACAATCCAGGGCATGCCACCAGGTCACACATGGCCTTGTCACACTCAATCCCCAGCAGAGACCTGATGGCTCACCCCACACATAGTCTGCTTGGTCTCACAAGTGGGAACACTGTGGCCTCTGGCAGGCAGCAAAGCAGTTCCCAAACTGCTGGGCTGTGGGTTGGAGGGCCCACAGTGCTGCCTGCAACCTGTAACCATTCAGTGGGGCCCTGTGCTGTTTGGGCTCTCATTCTGTGGTTAATGATCACCAGTCTGTGGGGGCTGACCCCAGCTTGTAGGGGACTGTCACTGTGCATGCCAAAGTTGTATAACTGAGATAAGATGAATGAATGACAAATAACACTCTTACAAACAAACAAACAAACAAACAAACAAACAAACAAACAAAATTGCTCTACACGGTGCTGAGACATGGGGAAGGAATGTGCATTCTCACCTGCTCCTATTTCCATCCACCCATTCATAAGCAGGGCTCCTGTAATCAAGCCACACTCTCTGGAAAAAAAGGTTTTTGTAAAACAAATTTTAACACTCCCTGGCGGTCTCCCTAACCATTCTAAAATACAAACCTAATTCTGTTTGTCCCCCAGGACCCTGCTTAATACATTTTAGTGACTCCCTGTTGCCTTCCAGGTAAAGTTCAATCATCTTAACATGGTTGTAAGATTCCTTATAATCGAATCCCTCTCTACCTCTCTAGGCCTGTGCCCATTCTGGACAACTTGTGGTGTCTAGAATGTATAATTTCTCTCATAGTTATACCTTTAAATAAGTTTCCTCCATCTGGAGTGCTCTGCCTTTCCAATTTCTGCTGTATAAATTCTTCAAGACTCAACTCAAGGGTCACTTCCTCTGGCAATCTTTATCCTGAACTTTCCAGGGTGACCGTGTTCCGTTTCTGGGTTCCCATAATATTCCATGTACCCCTGTGTTGCAGGAGGTAGCTGATGGGCTGTGAACATTAGCTAACTTATCTATCTCCCTGACTAGCTGACAGTTCTATGATGTCAGGCACCCATGAACATTTGTTGGATGAATGAATGAATGAGTGAATGAATGAATGAAAAAACACCCGTCAACTATGAAGCCTTGAGAAATAGCTATTACAATATGGCCATTTCCCCCGCACGAGCATTATAACATTTACAAACAGGACCTTTCTTCTAATGTATTGTGTTATGCTACCAGTTTCATGAAACTTGAGAAGATCCTTAATTTAGGACCATAAACTTAAAAGACAAGGGATGAACAAAAGTACTTGTATTTATTTCCATGCATTAAAAAGAAATTCTTCCAACATCTCAACATACTTGTTTTGCTTTTTAAGAGTAAAATTTCAAGACTACTTATTGATGTTGATTTCTTATGAGTTAAGAAATGTTCCAGGATGTAGCTTCATATTTGACATCTTACTTCCCGTCTGACAGACAGGAACCACTCAATCCGGCTTTCATTTTAATGTTCTCAGAGAATGTTTATTACCATCTACAAGGTTAAGCATTCAGATTTGTCACTGTGCTGGTGATCTGCTTATAGAATATGCATTCAGCAACACTGGCCAAGTATTACGAAGAAGCCCACGGCATAGAAAACACGATACTCCTTGTTATGGGGAGAAAACGAACAAAGGTGAGTCAGACAGATATGTAAACTGAAAAGTTCTTATCCATCACGATGTTTCCTCTCCCTCCTCCGTGTCGTTCATCTTTTTAAAAGCACACACCCGTCCGTGTTCACACTTGCATTCTATATTCAGTGACTGTCCTTAGCACAGAATAGTTGAGGAGGGATTCTGGCTGAGTAGCGAGCAGCTGACCTGAGAGAGAAAAACAGCGGGTGAACCGAAGGTGCCACGCACCATACACATTCGGAGACAGTCACAGAGCCAGTGGCCCGAGCAATACCAAGAGGAAGGAAAACAAGCATTTCATTCTCTTTCCATCCCTGAGAAAATCAAGAAACACGATTACTTACAGATTACATGTATAAAGAGACCCAAGAAAAGCCCAGCTGAAGCAATCTTCGTGCTGTTAGCGCATAACCACCTTTGACTCTTTAGGAAATTGAAAAAATCAATTGCCTCGAGTCTGAAAGTATTAGGTCCAATGGGTTCGGTCTCAGATAAAAAGAACAGGCTGTAGCAAGAGAGCCCTTCTGAATCTAAGTAATACTATTTCTTGATTTTCTTGGGGAAGGAGGGGGGGAGAATGGGATGCATTCATAATTTCACACTGAAATGCCCTCTTGTTACCTCCAGTTCTTTTCATATGAGAGCGGACTATTGCACGGAATCCTTTCAGACTTCGAGCAGTCGGTTTTCCTGGATTTCCTAGAGTCAGGTTGTTACATTTTAGTATCATGAAGAGTGTTTTGATTGTGCTTTTCTGTGGCTTTATACATGGAAGTAACACGATAATACATTTCAGTGTCAAATTAATTGTCAGGAATTTTGCTCCCAGAGGCTGAAATACTACAGTGGTCCTAAGAATGCATTCCAGGGTGGTTCACCTTTCTGCCCCCACCCCCAC